GTACGCCAGGTTAGGTGAGGCACGGGGTGCTTGTCTCGCTCCTAGGTTCGGGGCGTGACACCGCTTGACTACCGGTGGAGGCACTTGCAGTTTTTCTCTTCTTGGAAGGAGCCATTGCACTTGAAATAGATCGATTTCACTCCTAGAAACTATATGGCCAGTCTCTATGGTGAAACTCAACCTCCACCCCACAGAAAAATGATAACAAAAAGAAATAAACAAGAAAAAATACAAAATAATATTGCTACAAACAAACAAGAAAAAATAGAAACAAAGGGAAAACATCTCACATACCTGAGGGGTCTTTAGAAGAGAGTGATCTTGAGGAAGGGGAAGGGAGAAGAGTAGGGGGTTGTGCTTGTGTTGTTGTTGCAGAGAAGAGAGGGAAGAGAAGTTGGGCGTATTAGGTTTTTGCTTAAGCGGAGAGGGAAAAGGGGGAAATTTAGAAGGGGGTTTTGGGGAGGGGGGGCGAAATTAAAAAGGGGAAATACTTACCTGTGCGCGGTTGGGTCCTCCTATGCACGACCGTGCACATAAGTCAGTGTACTAGTTAATGTGCGTGGTTAACCCTTCAGGTGCGCGGCTGCGCAGATACCGCATCCTCTGACATTGTCTTTTGCGCGGCCATATACGCGAGGTGCCCCCAGGTGCGCAGTCGCGCACGGATACATTCTAAATGGGTCTTTTAGACACCTAAGTTCCGACCGTTCGCAAAATGTGCCTTCTCGTACGTACCAAGTCATAATATACACTAATTTCTATCTATTCTATGCTATAAATAAAAGTGAAAAATTAAGCTAGTAGAAGAGTTAGAGGTAGTTCTGAGTTATAGTCGTCAGCTTGACTCAACCGGGCATCCTCAACTGATTTTGATGCTCGAGGATTGCTGAGCAAATCCTCCAGCAAGATACGGTTTTAGCTTGTGCCCATTTACTTTGAAACTTTCCGTTCTGTCCAAGTTCTGAATCTCAATTGCCCCATATGGGGATACATGTTTCACCGCATACGGTCCCGTCCATCTAGACTTAAATTTTCTTGGAACAATCTGAGTCTACTATTGTACAGTAAGACTCTGTCCCCTTCATGAAACTCCTTTGGCTTAATCAGACTATCATGCCACCTTTTAGTCTTTTCCTTGAAAATCCGCGCATTTTCATACGCGTTCAGTCTAAACTCCTCCAATGCATTCATCTGCGCCAACATGTGTTCACCTGCAAGAATAAGATCAAGGTTAAGCATCTTAATTGCCCAATAAGCTTTATGTTCTATCTCAACAGGTAGGTGACATGATTTTCCATACACCAGTTTGAACGGTGAAGTCCCTATGGTTGTTTTGAACGCAGTTCTATATGCCCATAGAGCTTCCTCCAACTTTACAAACCAATCCTTATGCGAAGCACTAACCGTCTTTTCAAGAATTCTTTTAAGTTCACGGTTAGCCACTTCAACTTGTCCACTAGTTTCGGCATGGTACGAGGTTTCTGTTTTGTGTGTGACCCCATACTTGAATAGCAGTGTAGCAAACTGCTTGTTCACAAAGTGTGACCCATTGTCATTGATAATCACTCGAGGTGTCCCAAAGCGGGTAAAGATTTTCTTCCGCAAGATCTCACACACCACCCGAGCATCATTGGTGCTAGTAGGGATTGCTTCAACCCACTTAGATACGTAGTCAATGGCTACTAGGATATACTCATAAGAATGTGACAATGGGAATGGACCCATGAAGTCAATGCCCCAAGCGTCAAAAATTTCACATACGAGAATGGAGTTGAGAGGCATTTCGTCCCTCTTGCTAATATTACATACCCTTTGACACTTGTCACATGCAGCTACATATGCTCGTGCATCTTTGTACAAAGTAGGACAATAGAAGCCGATTTCCATGACCTTTGTTGCAGTGCGATTTCCACCATAGTGTCCTCCAGCTGCTCCATCATGGCAATGAGACAGAACGCTTGCCATATCTTCTTCAGGCATACATCTTTGAATCACACCATCTGCACACAGTTTAAACAAGAACGGGTCATTCAAAAAATAACTTTTTACCTCACCTTGAAGCTTCCTTGTTTGATCACGAGAGAGATCACAAGGTAACCATCTTCTAGCCAAAAAGTTGGCTACATCAACATACCAAGGTGGCCATTCGAAGACCGCAACAATGGAGAAAATCTGCTCATCAGGGAATTCTTCCCTTATTTCAACTGTTTCAATCGGAGGTCTCTCAAGTCGAGATAGAAGATTGGCGACTTGATTTTTTGTGCCCTTCCGATCTTTGATCTCTAAGTCAAACTCTTGGAAAAACAACACCCAGCGTATCAAATGCGGCTTGGACTCCTTCTTACTCAACATATATTTCAAGGCTGAGTGATCCGTATGTACAATCACTTTGCTCCCCACCAGATATGATCTAAACTTATCAAAAGAATAGACCATAAAAAAGAACTCTTTTTCAGTGGTGGCATAGTTTACTTGAGCATCATTTAACGTCCTACTTGCATAGTAGATGAGCCTAAAAGTTTTATCTTTACCCCAGAACTGCCCCTGCAGCTACATCACTGGCATCACACATTATCTCAAATGGTTGGATCCAATCAGGTGTCACCATAATATGAGCACTTACAAGCTTTTCCTATATCAATTCGAATGCTCTTAAGCACTCCACATTGAAAACAACTTGACATCTTTTGCTAGCAATGCAGTCAACGGTCTGGTAATGCTGGAAAAGTTTTTGATGAACCTCCTATAGAACCCAGCATGTCCCAAGAAACACCTTATGCTCTTCACAGAAGTCGGTGGAGGGACCTAGTAATTACATTAACCTTAGCTCTATCTACTTTAATTCCTTGTGCATTCACTTTGTGTCCCAAGAAAATTCCCTCTTTCACCATGAAGTGACACTTCTCCCAGTTAAGGACCAAGTGTGTGGCTTCACAACGTTCAAGCAGGAGCTCCAAATTCTTCAAGCAGTCCTCAAAGTCATCACCAAAGAGGGTGAAATCATCCATGAATACTTATAGACACTTTCCATTTAAATTAGAGAATATAGACATCATGCACCTCTAAAAAGTGGAAGGTACATTACACAACCCAAACGGCATCCGCAAAAATACCTGATGGTCAAGTAATTGTGGTCTTCTCAACATCTTCTGGGGAAATGGGTATCTGATTATAGCCTGGGTACCCATCCAAGAATCAATAGCATCCATGTCTAACCACTTTCTCAAGCATTTGATCAATAAAAGATAGTGGGAAGTGGTCCTTCCTTGCATCATTAAACCTTCTATAATCAATGCACATTCCCCATCCAGTGACTGTTATGGTGGGGATCAATTCATTATCTTCATTTTTCACTAATGTCATGCCCCCCTTATTAGGTACAACTTGTACAGGACTAATCTACTGGCTATCAGAGATGGATAAAACTACTCCCGCATCTAGCAATTTGATGATCCCCTTGTGCACTACCTCCTCTAATTCTTTGTTCAGCTTGCATTGGGGCTGCACCGCTGGCTTGCTATTTTCTTCCAACAAAATTTTCTGCATGCAAATGGTCGGACCGATTCCTTAAATATCAGCTATACTCCAGCCCATGGCCTTTCTGTGCTTTTTCAGCAGTTCTACCAGTTTTTGCTCTTGTGTACCTGTCAAGTCAGCTGAATTGGGAGGATTTTCAATTCTACATAAGGCTTAGAAGCCTCCTCTTTTAGTTCCTCCTCATCAACCATTTGATCCTCAGTCTCAAGAACTTCTGCCTCTTTCTTTATTTCAGGATCTTTATCCTCCACTATGCTAGACTGAGTAATACACCTCTCTAGAGTATCCCCCATAAGCTTGTCAAACTTGTATTTTTCAGTCAATTCTCCAACAACGTCCAGCTTGAAACACGAGTAGGCGGACGCCTCATCACTAGGGTATTTCATCATCCTCTTCATCCGAAAGACCACTTTTTCGTTGCCCACTCTAAGCATAAGTTGACCTTCATATATATCAAGGATAAATCTGCCTGTACATAATAATGGCCTCCCTAGAATTAGAGGTACCTCCCTGTTCACCTCCATATCTACCACAATAAAATCTACGGGGAAAAACAAACTTGTCCACCCGCACTAAAATATCCTTAATGATTCCCTCAGGTAGAATGGTTGTTTGGTTTGCCAGTTGTAGGGACACTAGTATCAATTTGATCACTCCAAGCTCACCTTCTAGTTTCCTCAATACAGACAGAGGCATTAGATTTATAGACGCACCAGAATCACAGAGGGCCTTGTCAAATGTTTCACTCCCCAACGATCATGGTATGGTGAAGCTTCCTGGATCCCCCACACTTTTGGGGAATTTTATTTTGCAAGATGGCACTGCAGTGGGCATTTAGCTTGACCACTGTTGTTTCCTCTAATTTTCTCTTGCTAGACAGGATTTCCTTTAAGAACTTGGCATAAGCAGGCATCTGAGTGAGTACCTCTGTGAAAGGAATGTTCACATACAGTTGCTTGAGCATCTCTAAGAACTGCCCAAAACATTTGTCAAGTTTCTCCCGCTTCATCTTTTGAGGGAATGGTAGAGCAGGCATATGTCTACTTTCTTCAATCTTCTTTTGTACCCCGCTAATCTGGCTCTTTTTCTCTTCACTCTCTTTCTCTGTTGGTGTCTCAATCTTCTTGCTAACTACCTCATGTCTAACTTTCACCTTTGGGTCAGTCAATGCTTTGCCACTTCTCAGAGATACAACTTTGATTGTTTTCTTTGGGTTATTTTCAGTGTCAGAGGGAAGAGTACCGGGAGTCCTCTCAGATAACAAATTCGCAATCTGTCCCATTTGTCTTTCTAAATTCCGGATAGCCGTGCTATAATTCTCAAATTGTTCATCTGTTTTGTTGATGAATGCCTTCATGAGATCTTCTATACTTGACTAAATTTGTTGTGGTGGCTGGTATTGCTGCTTCTGCTGGTTCGGAAAACCTGGTGGTCCTTGACCCTTGGGTATGAGATTGTTTTGCTGCCATGAGTTCAAGCTTCCATTAGGCGAACTCCACGAAACATCTGGATGTCTTTGACCCATAGCATTATAGTTGTTCCCACATTGGTAGTTTCCTCTATTAAAGTTCCCCACAACGTTGACTTCCTCAGCTGTATCTTGACAATCATGTATAGGGTATCCCAATCCACAAATGTCACATCCCACCTGTGGTTGATTTTGCACTTGAGCTATCGTCAGTTGCTTGATGTCCTTAGCCATAGTTGCAATTTGAGCTTGTATTGCTATCGACGATTCTACTTGGTGTACCCCCACTGATCTTTTTCGATCACCTTGGTCAGTGGATCATTACTCTGCGTCTTCAAATAGTCCATTCAGAAGTGTGACAATCTCTTAAGGGGTTTTCTTTATCAGAGGACCTGCAACCGCACTATTCAGCAATCTCCTTGATGACGAGTTTAATCCGTCCCAGAAGTCCTAGAGTTGCATCCATTGCTCCATTCCGTTATGAGGGCACCTCTTCAATAGTTCCTTAAATCTTTCCCATGCCTCTAACACTGTCTCTCCTTCACCTTGGCTGAAATTGTGAATCTCTTTCCTCATCCATCTAGTCTTAGCAGCAGAGAAATATTTTTCTAAGAACTTGGTAGTCATCTCTTCCCACGTACGAATTGACCTTGTGGGCAGACTTTTCAACCACTGCTTTGCATCATCCTTAAGTGAGAAAGGGAATTCTCTGAGGTAGATGGCATCATGTGATGCTCCATTGTAGCGGAATGTGTTTATAATTTCGTCAAAGTCCATCAGATGGTTGTTGGGATCTTCATTGAGTTTGTCTCTGAATATACAATTGTTCCGAATGGTCTAGACGACTCCCTCTTTAAGTACAAAATTATTGGCATCAATGGGCGGGGGCCTCACGCTAGACTGTTGTTAGTTGTACACCGGTCTGCCATAATCTCCTAGCGACCTCCCAGGCCTAGGGGCTGCATTTTCAAATTCATCTTCGATCATGGTTCAGTTAAGATTGAACCTTCTATCCCCATCGACTGTTTCATCCACAACTCTACGGGTTGCTTCAACTGCTAACCGTTCTTCCTGTCGCTGAGTTGCCTCTCTCGCAGCTAGGTTCACCTCCTCTTCGTTGTTCACCATCGTATTCTGAGTTGAAGGCTGACCCAACAACAATCTGCTCGATCCTTTCTCCCTTCTCAACTGCATAAGGTGTTTGTCTAGCTCTGGATCATATGGAACCAATTCTTTGGAAGAGGATCGAGTCATACACCGCTGAACTTAACTTGTTGCCTGTACACAGATGAGAAAAGCGTAAAAAAAGAAAAGAAAAGAAAATTGTTCCTGAATTAGCACCGTAAATTAATTCAAACACTATTAATCGCCAATCCCAGGCAACGACGCCAAAATTTGACTAGAGCAAAACCGGTGTATAGAACTTAAGCTCACTAGTCAAAGATAGTATAATATTAAATCGTCTCCACAGGGATTGAGTTAAAATAATGTTCTAATAAATCTTCAGCTTAACACTATCAAGGAAATAAACCTTTGATTTATGTTATTATCAACTAATAATAAAAACTAAAATTATCGATCGTGAGAAAATAATGGAAATTTAATGACTAAGTAGCAACGATTGAATATCAAGGTGAGAAGTAAGGTTTGTGACAAGATATGTGATAAACTATTATTCCCGGTAACTCCGTGCTAATTTCACTCTTAACTTCTATTGACTCTTACGATTTCAACAGATGATTAAGCTATCTTACAGATTCAAATTCTTCTTCCGAATGAATGAGAGTTCTGTTAACCAATCTAATGACAGTATAGGTTGATCCCCGAACACGATCCCGACTTAATCCTTAGGCTTTTACTCAGACTTCAAAGCTCCAAAATATCTTGAATTAGCTCCATAACCTCTTCATAACTCAGAATCGCTCCTACAAGGCACAAAACACACACTCAGTGCAAAATAATACTAGCTAAAACTCAAACACTAGTAAAGTGCATAGAATTAGAGTGCAATTAGTGACCAAAATACGCAATTATAGCCTACCATCATTATCATTGGATGATCATTAGCCCTAAGGATAATAGGTAAGATTTATTTATAACTTCTTTGTTTTTGCTGAATTATAATAGCTAGTCTTGTTTATTTAATTTAATTGCTATGTTATAGGTTCATACCTAGTCATCAGACTACAAAGATAATCACTGAAGCTCTTGGACGGTTATATGATGCACCATATGGCCGGTTAACAATATTTTCATCTAACGTTACGCACTTCATTTGTAGACTAAGTGTGCCTGGGAGGACCGGCATAATAGTGCCATTCTTGCAAATTTTTAGTTCAAATGCCGTAAGAGACTATCTGATTCCTTCTGTTCTGCTCGAAAGAATAGCAAGAAGGCTTCATGGGTTCTACCGTATTTATGGGAGGATCTGCTGAGGCAGTGGACCACTGAGAAATTCGAGAAGAGGAGTGAACAGGGAAAGAAGGCCCGAGCATCTGAGAAGGGTGGCTCCTTGCACTGTGTGGGTGCAAGGAGCATGAGGACTGCGAGGAGACTACTAGTAATTCCTTAAAATATTTAAATTTATTTTTATCGAACTATATTTTATATATTTTAATTTAGTTAACATGATTTGTAGGAAAAAAATATAAGAGGAAGATGACTCATGATGAGTTGTTCATGGAGACTCACATCCGGAAGAAGAAGACACCGATAGATCCAACTAGATGGGTCGAGGACCGGGCGGAGACTACATATGTAAGTTTCATAACTATTGTAACTTAAAATGAATGTTTATAATATTATATAGTTAATAATTTTCTATCTTCTAAATATAGGGTCGCTACAAGACTAATGTAAAGGAGTACACTCAGAGCTTGCCACCGAATGAGCAAGGCGAGCGACCACCCCTTTCAGACGAAGAAGCGCAGAAGATATGGTTGGATGTTGTCGGTGGTCCTACAAAGGGGATAGCATACGGCCTTCTAGAGAGATCATTTCGGCGTTATAGGCTGGATTGCAAGGTATAGTGACTTCTGCTCAGGGCGAAGCAATTGATAGGCTGACTCTATCGGCTATGGAGAAGAAGATCGCAAAGCTGACAGCAGAGCTTGAAGAGACAAAGGCTAGAGAAGAAAAGAGAGATAAAAAATTTGATACCTTCAAGTTAAGCTAGAAAAGAGGGACCAACAATTTAATGTTCTTCAAGGTCAGCTGGCCAATCTTCTTGCTAGTGGTGCTTTCCTGATTCCCCGGTTTCGTGAGTCTTTTCCGGATGCTAATCATTCTCGTCGTGATCCTCCGAACCAAGCCGACGATGAAGCTTCTAGTAGTGGTGATGGAGTTGGGGATGATGTAGTATAAAACACTCATTGAATGATGTTTGAACTTTTAACTTGTGAAACGTTTTGTTTTGGGGTATTTTGAAACTCTATAAATATTGTTAATACAGTTTTGATAGTTGTTATTGTTGTTGTTATTGTTGTTATTGTTATTGTTATTGGTTGAATGACAGCAATCTAATGCTGCCATTATAGGTGATTGATTGTTGGCAGGTGGTGCAGCTGTAAAACAACTGTATTCTGCCAAAATCTTACCCAGAAAACCGACCGCCTACCGACCGAAGTCGGTCGGAAATGTTCAATTGAATTTTTTAGAAATTTAAATTTACCGACCGACTTCGGTCGGAATTTTTGAATTTAAATATTAAATATTTTAATATTACCGATCGAGTTCGGTCGGAAATGAATAATTTTATAAAAAATGAATAATTAAAATTCCGACCGAAGTCGGTCGCTAATTTAAAAATAATTAAAAATTATTTTTAAGAATACTGACCGAATTCGGTCGGTAAATTTATTTTGTATCAGATTATTTGGTCAAAGTGCGTTGAAAATTACCAACTGACTTCGGCAGGAAATATCGACCGTCTGCGGTCACCTCGCATTAGCGATCATTTTTTTTCGACGAATTGAATACGGTCGGAAGTTGGTCGGTTTTTGTTCAATTTCGACCGATTTCGCTCGGATTTTCTGGACGCTTTTTGCCAGTTTTTTAGTAGTGACACAAGTAAAATATATATTCGGTATAATGATCTGTTGAAGTTCCATTAATCGACATCAATATAATAGGTACTTACATAAATATGGAGTATATTTTAAACATACCAAAAATTTTCCAATTAGTTATATGAAGAGAGAAAAATGAGGAGAAGAAAAGATCTTTTACGCATTCATAAAAGAAGACAGATAAACGAGTGGATTTTTTTACCCCATACCTATCCTTTAATTAGTGGGATTACATACTTTAGAACTAAGATTTTTTTTTTCCAGTTAGTTTTAAAGTTTTATGAAAGAGAAAAATAAAAAGAAGTTGAGTCTTTTCTTATGGTTGTTAATTGTGGGATCCCTTAATTTGTACATCATTTTTTTAAACTACTAAAACAAGGAAAAAACTTTTATTTTTGAAATAAGCCAAGAGTAATATTAATTATGAATGTTCTTAATAAAGATTCTATGTAAAAATTTCTTGTAAATAATAGTTAGGTATAAGATTCTTTTCTTCTCATGATATCAAAGCTTGGTTCATTTCAATTCTAGGTTTATCAGTTACCCCTCATATTATATTATCCACACTTCAGTCCGCAAGTGGCATGCGGGGTTGAGCTCCCAGATCAATTATTTAGGGATGCGAAGGTCTTTTTATATGATTTTGCACAATTTTTACCTCATGAGCTAACTTTTAGGATTGTGTTAGGTTTAAGATCCATTTCTTATCAGGATCAGCGTTAAATATAATACGAAAGGTTTGACTTATATAGTTTGCAGTATTAATATAATTTAATCTGCTATAACTTATTGTAAAATATTTGACATAATATCTTCTAATTAAAGGCAATTCCAGAAAGGAGTTCCTTATTTCCTGCTTGATGAAGTGAAATCTCAATGCCAACTGTAAGGCTAGGAAAGTTATGTATAATAAAATTCTCTTACAAATAGGATTTCATATTTGTTAGTATAAGATATCAATTATATTTATTTACTTTTAACCAGGTAATATATTTCAGTTATCAATGATCTTTTAAAAAAAAAATAGAGCAACATGCACTTACTCATAATAAGTAATTTAATTACATAAATGTCTTTTATATCCTCATAGCCTAAGAGTAAAGTCAATTGGCTCTGGACCGAAGTCGATTGACTATTTGGCTTTCGTCTAAGGTGTTATTTCTACGTTAGTTCATTAGCAAACATTAAAGACAACGAGTGTTAGTATCGAATTCTGACTCAACGCTCTAATTAATAATGTTCATTGAAAGGTAACAAAAGCAACAAAAGCAACAAAAAAGAAAAAGAATTGCGCTTGCAAATAAGCAAATAAAGTTAACGGAGTGCAAGTGAAGTGTCTTTGATAATTTCTAGCAGGTCTAACCTGACAAAGGAGGAAAATGAAGCACTCTGAATGTTCCTAAAGAAACAACGACGGAGCTCCCTTCTTTGGCTGTTTGTGAGTATTTGTAAGTTTACAAAGTGTTTTTAGCTTTACGATGTTATCTCGTTTTGAGATATTTACTTTTACACATAACAGATCTATCTTTTATATATAAGAGATCGAAAAAATGATGTTTTTTTAATTTCAATATTGTAAACGGCCATGAAGGCTCATTTCCTCTTTAAATTATGAGTTTCGCTTTTAAGTTCTTAACATTAAATTCATTATATCTTTAAATTTATGAGTTCATTTCTACTATTGTTGTAATTTTAATGAATTTTTACACATAAATTTATGTTGCGTGTCGAAAGTATTGAATTCAGATGAATATAGCGCGAACTGCAAATCCGCCCCTGATTAAGAGTGTAGAATTTATGTTGTGATGGAAGTATGTCCCTCTTGTAGTAAATTGCAATTGTAGCAAATACTGGCGCATTGTTTATTTTTATTTTTATATGTTGGTTCATAAGAGTTCGGGCTTTAATGGTGTTCTTGCTACTCTTTTCATGTTTATTCTTCTCTTTGTCTCTTGTTAACTACGTGCGTGATAAAAATCTATTAGTTCTTGAGTTTGTTCCTATGGGAGAAATTGAAGAATTTTTAATATTTATTGGTAGTATTTTCTAGGGGTGTACATAGGTCGGGTTGGTTCGGATTTTTTAATTACCAAACCAACCAATTGTCTCGGATTTTTAAATTTATAAACCAAACCAAACCGACAAAAATCGAATTTTTCAATCACGTTTTTTCTCGGGTTTTTCGGTTTTCTCGGATTTTTCGGATTTTTCAATCACGTTTTTTCTTGGGTTTTTCGGATTTTTTCCCGACAAAATCTTCATAGTATAAAATTTATAATTTGTGCTCTAATACTTCTTAGGTCCTAGTAGGATAAAACTATATAAGATGTTACCCAATAAATCAATACAAAATAATGTGAGATGAGTCATAATTATACTAAAACACTCAACAAATCGCATAAGATAAATATTACTAATTAATAAGCCATAATAAAAATAAACATAATCTAAAAGTACTAATTCATGTTAAAATAAATACGACTAATAAGTACTAAGTATTAATTACATGACTAAATAATATTAAAAGTGAGTTATGCATTTTCACTATCTAAATCAATGCAAAACTAAAAAAAATAAAATCCAATACTATCCTCATTTCAAGTATTGAATTGATTTTTTTTTTTGTTAGCATTAGTATTAATTTGATTTTGCTTTGGGCTTTATTTGAGTTACTAACATTTATGAGCTATAAAACATATTTGACCATTCAAAAGTTAGAAGTCTAAGCTTGAAATAATACACTAAAAGAGAGAACTATTAAAGAGTTTAAATTATATTTATAAATTACATTACAATAATTATTTTTATGTATAATTTTTTTTAAAACCTTGTATACATGTAATGCCGGGTTGGTTTGGTTTCGGTTTGATTTTTTTTTAGTTAAAACCAAACCAAACCAATTATGATCGGATTTTTTTTTCTAACACCAAATCATAATCGATTTTTTTCTCGATTTAACTCGGATTATCGATTTGATGCTGTTTGTCGGTTTCCTTTCTACACCCCTAGTATTTTCTATGTTAGGGTCTAACTTCTAGCCTTTTTGAAGTCATCCGAGTTTGACGAGGAATTCATATCTGAATTAGACATGGAGTGAATAAAAAATGCAAATAAAAAACATCAACTAATGCTTGTCTTGAAAACCTGAGGAATATCTACGAGTTATGACCGAATTAAAGAGAACACAAAAAGGGTTCNTTCCCCTCTCCCCCAAAAAAAGATTTACATATTGCGGTTCGGGTCAAGGAATCCGTTATAAAATGCGGTTCGGGGGTCATGGAATTCGCTATAAATTCCGAGTACGGCTTTTTGCCGCCATTTCAAGCAAAAATTCAAAATACAATTAGGCAGCAGTACCAGATGAACAGATGATCGAGAGAGAAGCTTCAATTCGAGAATACTCGTTCTAGGTTTTCAACACTTTAGGAGGAGGCTTACTTTTCACCGTCAAATATCCGGCGTAAATTTCGACTTCGTGGAGGTTATCTTGAACTTGTATGTATAGCTCGATATAGTTTTTGAATCTCGCGATTTTCAATTAAATTTCAATTGCTTGAAGCGTTACAATCTCGATTTTTTTTTTTCTGATTATAACTCCGGCACAAAATGAATGTCGTTGTCTGCGTTTTTCATTTTTTTTCCTAACATGTTGTTGATTATGTAAATATCTTCTTTTATGCAGTTATCCTTTCGTTTTTAGTTTTGGATCAAAAGTTTTGTGGACAATCCAGTTATTGAGCTCGGCTGAAGGTGAAAATTTGTTGTTCAAGGACTTGATATTCTGATTACCTGTTTGGCGATTTGAAAAATATAAGATTGAAAGTTGAGTATTCATCAACATGATAAACTCTGAGTTTTCAATACATAAACTGGCAAGCAAATTTCACATGATACTTAACTCGTTTTGATACTCGTTTTTCTACTCCAGTTATCAAAACGAGTTTTATGTGCTTCCGTTTAATATACTTTGGCTATCCAAGTATGCACACTGATATTTCAAAAGTTTATAGGCAGCTAGAGGTTTCGGCTATGGATATTCTAGCTACCATTAGGCTGTTTTTCTTTCCATCAATCCTGTTTGAAATTGGATTAACCAGCTACAATTGGCTGTTTAGTGAATTTTCTCTCTGGTGTCATTTGAGAAGCAACGTTTGTTCGGCAATGTTGTTCACTTTATTGTAGCGATATTAGTCATTTCTTACTGACTAGTTTTTGTGTGTCCACGGCTTTAGAGTGAATGGGATCAGAAATTTTGTGCTCAGAATTTTGAATGATTCCAGAACTTTGTATAATGTGCAATGAAATTGACTATCGTTTCTGAAGTGTGAGATGAGATGCAATGCTTGCTGGCGAGAACTGGAAGGACAGGCCGTCACCACCACTTGTGGCCACCTCTTCTGTATCCTTGTTTTTGTATGTGTTCCATATAGACATGCATATGTTTTTTGTGTGTTTTAGCTTCCAAGGGGGTGGCGTAGCGGTCAAAGAAGTAGTGTGACAGTCTTGGAAATAATTTTCGTATCCAAGACAGATGACGGTAAGTGAATTCTTCCCCTTTGCCCAAGTCTTAGTATAATCTGGTACCTATACTGGTGAGAGGTAGCAAGCACCTGGTAGATTGGTTGATGTGCGCCTAAGCCAGCCTGGATATTAGCGTTATTCCAAAAAAGAAAAACGTGTGTTCCATATAGGCATATATGTAGGGATGACAATGGGGCTGTGCGGGTGCAGGGCTGGGCTGGTTTCAACCTATGTGGGTTTGGGCCTATGCCTGTGTGCGTTTGAACCTATGCGGGGCCGTGCAGGTTTAGGCCTGTGCGGGTGCGAGGCGGGTTGATTATATTTAAAAAGCCTTCTTGCGGGTTGCAGGTTGACGCTGGTTTGGCCAAGGTAGAAACATATAATGATGATGCAATCATGCAATAATCACTTGGGCTCGACAGAAGAGCTTTGATGTTTACAACAGTCCAGTGTTGTACTATATAATCCCAATATCATATTTGCACTCGTATGATTAATATGAGCTATCTTTTTTTGGTAAGTATTATTATCAGCTTCTTCACTCCTCCTTCTGCTTCTTCACTAGCAAACTTCAGCACATTCTTTTGTTGACCATTTTAGTAGTTGTTACCTCTCAATTCTCATCATTGGTGTTGATTAATCGTGAGTGTCTTAAATTCGTCATTTTTTGTGTTGGTGGTTTTGATTTATGCATTTTTATCACTAAAACTGAAATAGTGAATTACTTGTTGAGAAGTTAATGATAAAGTGCTGTCATATATTTTTAAACATCTCAAATGGGAAGACAAAATATTTAGAGGAATTGAAACATGATGAGTAGTGTGTGATAGTTCTTTAAAACCTATTTGCTATTTTCGTCTTCTCGCCTATTGCCCGAAAAAGAAAAACGAAACTTAGTAAAACAGTTTACAGTTGTACCCACCTTAAATCCTTAACTGACATGTAAAATTCTAGTCAAAAGATCAAAAGAAATAGAACCGACAAAATGAAGAAAAATAATTAAGCGGCGCGGGTGGACGCGGGTGTGNGGGGTGAAAATGCTATACGGGGAGGGGCAGCTTAAAATCTTGCGGCTTAAGACAGAACTCGCACCGCTTGCCATCCCTACATATATGTTCGTGCAGGTTTCTCATGTACATGATTTTGGTGTACGAATACTGTGATTCCTTAAGAACGTTTATAGGCCGGGATGATGCAAGTAAGATTCTCAGCAATGATGCTGCTTGTCCTATCTGTGATCAAGTTCTGTCTAAAAGGTTAGTGCAATTCAATTTCTCTTTCATCTTGATGGTCAAAGTATTTTTTAATTAGTTCACTTAAAAACAAAACAACAACAACAACCCAGTATAATCCCACTAGTGGGGTCTGGGGAGGGTAGTGTGTACGCAGACCTTACCCCTACCCTGGGGTAGAGAGGCTGTTTCCAAATGACCCTCGGCATCCTTCCTTACAAGAACTCCCCACCTTGCTCTTGGGGTGACTCGAACTCACAACCTCTTGGTTGGAAGTGGAGGGTGCTTACCATCAGAGCAACCCACCTTGTCTGGCTTCTTTTTCCTTTCTCCTTTTGATTTGTTTTCCTAATTCTTTTTTCTTAGTGGGGAGGGGGCAGGGTGTTATGACACTTCCAGAACATTGATGTTGTTTTCCACTGCTACATTTCATATACTAATTGGTTTTGTTTTCCAATTCTACTATCATTAACTAATCACTCAAAGTAATGTCTGGCATTTGTCGAATTGGCTGCTCTCTGACCAAGTCTCTGACATTTTTGCTTCTCAGTCTCATGAAACCTGTGGACGTCAATCCAAGTGATGAATGGACAAATGTAAGCATGTATTGCTCCTTTATCTTCTCACTTTCTACATTTCTGCTGACTTAATCTTTTTGTTCCTCACTCATTTCTTAATTAGCATTCTAGTTAAAATCTGTTCACATTCTCATGCAGATGGTCATGGCTGGAATATCGCCACAGATATGTATCCTTCATCATCTGTCCTGTTTTGCAATATTTGTAATATTCAGATTTGCTTTTGAAACATAGTGAACTTCGGTTAGTTTAAATCAACGTACTACTTCTTGAATTGGATGTTAGATAATAAATACATAAATGTGGTATATACACTAATTTGATTACAGTCTCCTTAATCAAACCCAGTGATGAAGAGTGCCTACAGAAGTGTGACTTTCTACATAGGGCAAAAGGAATTGGAAATGCAAGTCAAGATGAACAGGGTAGCAGCTCAATATCGTCAGAAATGTGAAATGATGCAAGCAAAATTCTCTGAAAAGTTGGAACAAGTGCATACTGCATACCAGAAGATGGCTAAAAGGTGCCAAATGAGGGAACAAGAAGTTGAGAGCTTATCTAAAGACAAGCAGGAACTCCAAGAAAAATTTGCTGAGAAATCCAGGTTTTACTTCCTTACAATCTTCAATGGAACTGCAAAAATGTGCTCTAATTATCCACTATAATAGATCTTTGGGAAGGTTGTAAAAGTGTGCTGTGCTGTGCTTTTCTACTAGAATCTGTTATTGTTGGTACTTGGTCTGAGAATTAATATTGCTCCCTATCAGGCAAAAACGAAAACTTGATGAAATGTATGATCAGTTGAGAGATGAATATGAATCAGTAAAGCGGTCATCCATTCAGCCAAAACATTTCTTTTCGAGAACAGAACCTTATTTGTTTGCAAATAATGCTGATATGATGGACAACAGAGATCACATGAGGAAAGGTAATCCTATTGTTTTTAGAATAATTGCATGAAATTACCGAGGCTGGTGTAGTTTGGATGTATTGTTCATAGTGTACGAATACTCATTGTCAAAATTCCTTTACATTTACAAGATGCATTTTGCTCAATATTTGAATGCGGATTCTCAAAATTCGTTGGATTTTGGATATTACGAAACTGCATTAACCTTTTAGCAAAATATTAGTCGACTTATTTGTCGCAGATTGGTCGGTTCTCACTCCTGAAACTCCAGGGCCAAGAGAAGACATTTGGCCTCCAGCACGACAGAATGTTTCCAACTCTGGCCCTTTTGATGTCTCGAGTGGCTCCCCTGCAAGACAATCAGCAGTATCAGTGGATGCTGGAAACAGAAGGGCAGGTGCACGTCCTATACTTGGTGTTGGAACTGGAGCAAGCAACCCCGCAACGACCCTTAGGAATCTCATATTTTCACCAATTAAGAGGCCTCAACTCTCCCGCAATCGACCGCAGATGTTCTCGTAAGCCACAAAATTTACATCCAATTGTCTATTATGTTAAAAGCTGAATTCTCACTACTGATATTTGGTTCTCCAGGTTGTAAGTCGGGAGATTGTTCACATTTCAATAGTGTGGAGAAATATATATACTTGAGATGTAACGACGATGGATCAGGTTTACTGACATTTTCAGTGTAAATGTTTTATGCATTAAAGTTCCAGTTATTGATATGCTACCCGACTTTGCTTTAGTGGTGGTCAAAGTAAAATGTTGTATAGTTTACAGACAAATGGATGATGTGATATGAGTTAGTATAAGGGGTGATTTGGTAGGAGGTATTAGAAAAAATAATGCAAGCATTAGCTATATGCATTACTAATACCTTGTTTGGTACATTTTTTCAACTCGTGTATAACTAATTAGTTATACATCATACTTGGTATTATCCTATGTATAAGTAATGCATAGAAAACAATGGCATTAGTAATACCAAGGCTATTAATGCATGCATTAGGTTGATTAAAGACAAAATTATCCTTAAAGTCCCTTAAAACTTGAGAATATGGAGGGTATTTTTGTAAACAACTATTTTTCTTAAAAATTATGCAATGCATAATAATTTTAATACACCACACCAAACAGTAGATAAGAAATAATATCTGCATAACTAATGCTTGCATTACTAACCCATGCATTACTAATACACCTTATTCCGCACTATTCTTATACACCTTACCAAAATGACTCCTAATAGTTGAAACTTCTCTTACACCTCTGAAGTGTAGGACTCTAATTCCACTAGTAGTCTTCTCTTCTTCTAATTTGATAAGGTGCTCACTATAAAATTACATCCATTTCTAATTGGTTCAAGCGCACTAAGAAAAAGTAAAATTACTGCAGTCGCATAATTTATGCTCTACCAATCCTGAAGCAGCTATCACCTCTTTTAAGCTTTACCTCCATATAACCAGTCCCATAGTACTTCTAAGTGGAATTTGTCAAATAGTACTTCCAACTCTTGCTACGTTTTCTTTTCTTTCTAAATGTAGAATGTAAGGGCTGTTTAGAACCTGCGTGTCATCTTCTGAAATTCTTCAAAATTTAAGTCATGTTCATTTTTGATTGTTTTAGCGTCATTAGTTTTATATCGGCATGTACCCTCGTATCTGGAAAAAGTAATTTTTTTTCTCAATGCAAAAATTTCTTTTTCAAACTACCAATCCTGTCTCATTACGTGCTTAAAACTTAATCCACAACATGTTCCTCTTTTGTACTTGAGGATTCAATAAGTTACTGCTGCGGAAAATGGAAATATCTTCTGTAAATTACCAGTAGTATTTTAGAATTGGATAAAACGACACGCCCTTCCTAGTACAGATCAATAGTCAAAACAAACTGTTCACCAAATCAACAAATAGTTCTGTGCATGTCAGCAATTCCAGGAACACCTGTAAGAAGACTTATTTCCAGCTAATTTGCGAGCTAACTTAAAATACTTATTTCTGTATTTATATAATCTCTTGATAGAATTATCAAAATTTGAGTTTTCCTGGACAATTCAGCGATATTCCATGTTGAAAAGAGTAGAGAAGATGAGAAATGATGAGAACCATCGATAGTCCTAGTGGCGGAGCTATGTGGATGATGTTTAATGAGATTTCCTATACCATACTTCTTCATCTCTATTGGCCCTTTTGATTTTCTTTAGTAAAACAAGTTCACTCTCGTCTCTTAGTAAAACTTTAAAAACAAAAATATACGAATACAAATACCCCTAACAACTTAACTAAAAGAATACGTAACTTATTAGGTGCTCAAGGTCCTAATTAGACAGGTACAGTGCTTGAACCAAACCTCTAGGCTCTAGCGATAGGTGTTTTCCCATTATCCGGCAACATTTATGAGTGTGGAAAACTGACAACTAGGCTTTATGCGAGCAAACTAGTCCCATTGGTGTTCTTTTTGTTGCTAATGAAAGGAACTTCAAATTAAAGACAAAAATTTAAGGAGGTTCATTACATGAAGGGAAAATCTTGACGATTCAGTGCGAAAAAAATAAAAAAACAAATAAAGGAGGATTATTCCAAAAAACATTCATCCATGCGAGGCCCAGGTACTTAAATAGCTAGTTTGCCTCAGGGTATATGTGGTGCAAGGGAGGGTGATCCTTTGCTACGAGGAGTTGAAGCTGCCTACAATTTTTTGGCAAGATTAAATAATCTTGTGACTATTGCGATGAATTTTTCCATAGGAGTTCCAATGCTAAAAGAAATTATAGTATTCATCTGATGTTATATATACACTATTGTGACTACAATACTTGAAAATTAGCGTAACGACCTTCAGAGATTTCAGAATTATCTCGTTGTGGTGTGATGTAAATTGGACGAGGATAGGAAACTATTTTGACTTGGTAGACCTTGAGGGTAAAGTAGCAGCCATTCCTATATATGATTTTACGACAATTTGAATTTTACAAAGTCCTCAAACAGGAGAATGGGTTAGCCGGCCGCTTAAAATTGCCATTCCTTGGCAATGCTAACTAGTACCAGAACGATATTTAGTGTCTTGGTTTTGTTGTACTACTTTTGACAAGGAGTTCGCAGTGGTGAATCCAAGGGTCAACCCAGATACGATTTTCTTATATTTACACAAGACCTGCACAGAGCGAGAGAGAGCGCCTTCGCTTACCTGCTTAACCGTACCCTCCTATCGTACCTATATAGCCTTTCCTTAGTTATATCAAATCTTTTGATGACTCACAGTCGAAAGAGTTGGTTGGCAGTTCAAACCTCAGAGGGAGTTGAAGAGAGGCCTTTCAGTTCGTTCAAAGGGACTAGGGACGAGCCATTACAGACGGACGGTCTGATGCTTCTGGAGTTCGCTCATATCGAATTGTCCAAAAGCTCATCAACCTGTCCGAGGGATGATGACGTCCAGCTAGTCTTGCACTTCACTTTAAGACCAGTCCTTCAAACAAAGGCTTAGCGAGCACAAATTCCTTAGAAAGAAAGATTTCCTCTCTTACCCAGAATTCAAATGCTTAGCTAAGACTGAATTTTTCACCTTCTCGTTCATTACATTAGGTTAGAAGATCTAACCAAGTACGCGAAATGCGACATTGACTCAAGAAAGTCATGGTGGTAAAACCAACGACTACACGGCTCTATACCAAGTCATGAGCGATAGCGAAGCCAAGCCGCCGTCTATAGGCGAAGGGACGAAAGCCCGACGAAGTCCTATGCTACAGTAAGAAAAAAAAATACGTTGAGGTTACGAAGTCACTTAGCCATATACTTAGAAAGAAAGATTTCCTCTCTTACCCAGAATTCAAATGCTTAGCTAAGACTGAATTTTTCACCTTCTCGTTCATTACATTAGGTTAGAAGATCTAACCAAGCACGCGAAATGCGACATTGACTCAAGAAAGTCATGGTGGTAAAACCAACGACTACACGGCTCTATACCAAGTCATGAGCGATAGCGAAGCCAAGCCGCCATCTATAAGCGAAGGGACGAAAGCCCGATGAAGTCCTATGCTACAGTAAGAAAAAAAAGTACGTTGAGGTTACGAAGTCACTTCGCCATATACTATACAAAGGGAAAGGTGTCGGTACGGACTCACGTCAGCTGTGGATATAGACTAAGCTATAAGGAAGGGAGTCAATAACTATGGATTGAGACTACACTAAGGAACAAAGAAGCTTGACTGAGAAATAATTTGAGGAAAACAAGTGGTGATCAATTGAAATCTTGGGGATTCTGGAAAAAAGGCTAAGATTATTGGTATCTGTAGTTGTGAGTATTGCCTCTACACATTAGGACAACTTTAATGTATGTTAATATTAAACTTTCTAATTTCTATTATATTGGGGATCTGAGAAGAGAAAGGGAAAGGATACAGTGAGAATTAAACTCACATCTATCGCGTAGATTACTTTTAAGTTGATATTCAGTTTGAAGATTGGGTCTTAGGGTAACAAACAGTGTTTATATTTTGGTATTTGTATTATGTTGTTCGAGTACGTGAGACGAGTCTGGTTCAATAGTTATGTTGGTTGTTCTTTTTTTATGTTTTTGTTTATGTACTATCGGAGGAAATTTTGAACAGTAAAGATTGTTCCTTTGGCGAAACTATGTTGGCCCAAGGGTGGTCAACTGACAACCAGATCGTCGAAAAATTATACTACGTATAAGGTAAAATATTACTTGTTATTGATTAAAAATAGACTTTGAACACCCTTGCATAGCCCACTGGCAAAGGGTGTTCAAAATTTGAACACTTTTATTGAATTTACTAGCTTCGCCACTAATAACAACAATAAAAAACACAGCAAAATTTCATATGTGGAGTTTGAGGAGGGATATTAGTGCAGTTAAACTCATGTCTTTCCCTTGATAGCGCTTCTGTACCGGTCAGCATCCTTTTTATTGCCAAGTGGATCTTACTGACTACAGAAGTAGTAATTTGACTAGAATCTCTCCCCTAGAATTCTCTGTAGCAATCTTTTGGATTCAGTCCATACAACGTGGAGTTATATCTAAATGATGACGAGAAAAATGAAGTTGTAAAGCTGATTACACAAAGATGTACCAAACTTGTACCACTTTCAGCTTGTTGGGGATGCATTACATTAAATGATAATGGGCTAAAAGGCATCTTCAATGGTTGTATTAACCTCAAGTCGTTGGACTTGCGAAGGTGCCTTAACCTCGAGGGAGTCTTGGCAAATAGATTGTGTTAACCAGTTTTGTTAGGATCGGGAACCTGGATAGTGCGGAATTTAGCCAAACAACGGTATAATGACAATAACAAAGACAATGAAAGTTGATAATAACGGCAATTAAAGAATATAAAGAAGACACAAATTTAACGTAGTTCGGTCAAGGTGACCTACGTCCACAAGCGGAGAGGAGCAATTTTACTATACCAACAAGAGTACAAAAGAGAGTACAAAATTAGAGTAAATACTCTAATTAATCCCAAATACCCCAAGAAAATAACCTCATAAGATCACTCCAAAGAAAGGGTTCACACAAGTGCTTCACAACACTCACTCTCTTACAAAATACTCTATAATAAAATAAAGGAGGAGAAAGAAAGACAAGAGAGAAAAGCTCTTGAATTGGTGTGTTTACAAATGAGGAGAAACTCCTCTATTTATAGCAAGAAATCCTTAGCCTAATAATGGATATTATGTCATGGCAAATGTCATGATCCACAAATTTATTATAATAGATATTATGTTATGGCAAATATCATAAAAATTTGGCCATATTACAAATCTCCACCTTGGCCTAATTTCGGTTTATATATAGTAAATTTGCTCCACCTTCTCCGCAAAAACCCCAATG